TCCTTTCTGATCGGTGTTTCTGGTTTCTTGGGATATATCTTAGAAGTGGGATCACTGGGTCAAATGGGAGTTCCATTTTTAACTTTTGAGAAACTCCATACTGTCTTTTATAGTGGCTGCACCAGTCTGCATTCCCACCAGCAGTGCACGAATGTTCCTTTTCTCCGCATCCTCTCCAGCACTTGTCGTTTGTTGATTTGTTGATGATAGCCATTTCCATTTTCATTTCACAGTTACTTTTCTTCCTAGTAAGTCAGCTCATGTTTTTAGTACTGCATAGGTGCTTGGTCATTTTAATGATTAAGGATCTTATATATAGGTTAGTAAGCTTCCCTGGGTGAAGTTTAGGGATTAAATAATACAGAGTCATAGGAGGGCTTTTCTAAGTCATATATTTGTTATCTTGAAGCATTCATTCAGTAAATGTCCTAACTGGGTTTTTCTTTTCTTTTCTATCCCAGGCCCAAAGAGGTAATCATAGTCTGATCCATTGAAAATTCAAAAGTTAATGATATGTTTAACAGAATACATTATCTCACAGAACACATTACATAAGACACGTGTGAAAAGGGTCTCAATTTAGACTCAGGTCTTATTTCTGCACTGGAATTCTAACAGTTGTGTCTCGACAGAGCTGACACCATTGTGGGTAGTATCTAATTCATCAGCAAATCTGGTCAGCTCTACCTTCAGAATATATCCCAAATCCAACCGTGTTGCATGAGCTCCTCTCCTGCTGCCCCTGGTCTTAATAATCACAGTCTCCCCTTGGGACTCTGGGAATAATTTCCCAACAGGTTTCCTTGCTCTCACCTTTTCTTCCCTAGAGTCAGTTCTTCACAGTGTGTGTGGCCCACCGTTTGGGAAGCGAGGGCCTTCCTGTCTCATTTCTAATCAATTCCAAGTCCTTCCAGGCCTGTGCGATCCTGCCTCCCGCTGTTCGCTGACCTTGCCTCCTGCCCAGTCCCCTCATTGTCTGCACTTGATTTATTCCCTACTCCAGGCCTTTTCCCTCTTTGTAGAATGCTCTTCCCTGGATTTCTGCATCGACTCTCTCTGTCTCATCAATTGTCACCTCTTCCAGTGACCCTATTGTTACCTTATTCTGCTTTATTTTTCTTTCTTTTCTCTATCCTGCACCATGCTGTATATGTAAGTGTTGCTTGTCTGTCTTCCCCTACTTGAACAGAGGTCAGCAAACATTTTCTGTAAGGGGCCAGATTGTGAATACTCTAGGCTCTGTGGACCACGCTATCTCTGTCCTGACCACTCACCTCTGCCATTGTAGCCTGGAAGCAGCTGTAGATGAGACTTAATGAATAGGCAAGTTCTACTAACTTTACTTGTGGACACTGAAATTTGAATTTCATATAATTTTCATGTTTCATGAAATATTGTTCTTTTGATTTTTTTTTCCTCTACCACTTAAAAATATAAAAACCATTCTTAGCTCATGAGTTAAACCAAGACAGGTAGCAGGCTGGGTTTGGCCTGTAGGCCGCCATTCCCGGCTCAAAAACATAAGCTCCACAAAGGCAAAGATTTTATTGTTATTGTTGAGTCTCCAGTACCTGGTGTGGTGCCTGGCTCACGTTAATGGTTGTTGAATAAAAGAGTGTATTCAGGACATAGAGAATTGGGTTATGGGGGCCTTTTTAGACTTAGAGTAAATGTAGATCATTATGGTG